GCAGCTGGTCAAGAGGAATCCGCCGTCGTCTTCTGGTGAAACTGACTTTCGAATCTCTTCACCCAACACTTTCCTTTGAAATGGAAGTAAGCTCAACAACTGAGTTTGCAGACTATAATGATTTAGTCTAGACAAAGAACGGAAACTTAGACTATACTAAAGTCTATTGTGCTTTACCTAAGCGGATAATGTTTGTTGATAAGGCACTTTTTCATATGGCAATATTTGATCAATCGTTCGCTAGGCAATTTAAGCAAACTTTTGATTTCTCAAAAGAATTATTTCAGATTTATCATTGAAGTGAAACATACTATGTCGCTTAGTATCTAGGGCAACAGAAAATGTGTTTCTTAGTCTGACTTTTTAGAAGGCTCCAGCCGTCTAAAAGCTTGAAAATTGAGATTATTTGAAAAATGATCTCTTGTCCAGATGCGTCCATTTAAGACTCAATCTGGGGTTTGATCTTATTTGACGCTAATTCGAGTAGTTTTAAATACAGATTATTGTTAATAATTATTTCAATTAGGCAAACTTAGCTACCCACAAAATTGCAAATTGTAAAAATTTCCTCTTATAAAAATTTAATTTCAGCTACCAAGGGATTTTCAACAAAATCCTCCAGCAGAACCCTTTGAAGTGTCCTATCTGAATTTACATCAAAATACTACTGGGAGACCGTCCTCGAGTAGCCCAGACGAAAATGTAGGCAAGCGAGAAAACAATATTGCGTTCTGTAATGGGAATTTTCAATCAAATCCGGCAGATGGAAGAGAATTCGAGTCAAACACAAACCACCAGGAGTGGAATTCAGATCGCTATCAGAGAACAGATGGACATCAAGGGACTTCGTCGATGGGCAAATCTAGTAAAGGGACAGAAACCACCCGAGGCTTTAGGGAGTTGACGTCAGACTCCTGTACCCCCAGTCCTCGTGACTACTACCTCAAGCATCGAGGGGTCCAGACACAATCGAACAACCGGATCTCACAGAGCTGCTCCGCTGCTCAGTTCATCGATACTGATGGGCAGAATCAAATTCCCAACACTCAGGGTCTGAAGGCTGCCTTGGACCAGGAGGCCTCAGATGTCTCGCAATCTGTAATTTCCACGTCGGAACCTTTGCGCTTGACCGTAGAGTTGAATGCTATTCACATGAAGCGCAAAGACCTTACCGTACGGATGCTGGCTCTGCAAGTAAGTCTAAGACCATCATTGACTCGAATATCTGGTCAGAGAAATAATGGTGTAAACAGTTAACGAATTATGTAAAGGGTATTCGATATCAAACAGATCCAAATGATCTTTTACGTAAAGAGAATTTTGCCGTAATTTCATCTTTATCCAACCAACCAACTCTTCAAACTCCTTGCGGATGCAGATATATAACAAAAATTTATATTTATTCATCCTTTTTATAGAAGTCTTTCTGGGCGTGTGACTACATTTTTCGGTCCTTCGTGAGCATTAGAGCATTGGTCGGTATTTGAAATGCTTTCGGTTTAGGATCAGGTGATTCATGGACAAACTTAGGACTGGTGCCTCATCAAATAGCTGCCGCATTTTGAATGATAGCATGAGAGTAGGGTTTCGAGACTACCAGTAAATCAGT